TGGCACTGAGGTGCCAGGGTTCCAGCAGCTGCCATCAATACCAAGCCTCTCCCCCCCCACCCCGTGCTGTGCTTCTAATCTGACTTGTTACCGTCGTCGTCCTGGTGGGCATCCCCATCATGCCTGTTCTGTCCTTATTATAGAGGTGGGCCAGAGAGCCCAGGGCAGAAAGGGAGAAGTGGCCAGTGCCTGTGCTGACAGCTGGCGGCAATGGAGGCTGCAGGCCTGTGGGCAGAGAAGCCAGGGGCAGGGCCAGAGCCTGGAGCTGCTACGGATGATGGAGTTCAGTCCAGAGCGGTTACCTGCCTGGCAGGCTCAATCGCCCCCAACACCCGCTTTTGGCGCTCTTGTGAAAGGTAGGCCAAGACTTGAGCACAAATTCCACAGAGCCTTGACGATTTCAGCCTGTTTGTGCATTTCAGTGCTGAGGCCATAGGACATCTCCTAATACACGATGCAGTGACGCTGCATCTCCTACTTCTCACTGGCCAGCTTGTCATACTCCAGTTTCAAGCTGTGGTACTGAGCTTGTAGGAGCTGAAACTCATCTTTGATCTGGTCACAGGAAGCTGAGATTGTGAACTTGAGCTGCTGGGGCAGGTGTCAGGAGCCCAGGTGCCTGCTTTGTGGAAACATCATGTCACTTGTCAGGAGTGGGGGGATCAGGGAAGAGCGGGAGGGCTGTGGGCTGTGGGCTGAAGGAAGGCAGAGGCTGCTGCAGAAATAGCACACTGCAGGGTGACATGTCCAGGGTCACACACACGAGACTTTGCCTCAGTTTCCTCATCTGTAAAATGAGCTGGAGAAGGAAATGGCAAACCACTCCAGTAGCTTTGCCAAGAAAACCCCAAACGGCATCATGAAGAGTTGGACATGATTGAAAAATAATTAAACAAAAATAATTTATCTATCTATCTAAATCTTATTCTCATTAATATTTTTGTTTCCCATCATTCGCAAATATATCCATTCTCTCTTCCCCAGCCTAGCCCTTGTAACAAAGATTTAAAAAGACGGAAAAAAAGTTAATAAAGTATATGCAACATTCTATACCCATAATTCCCCTCTTCTTCAAAGAGAGGATGGAGGTACATTTCCTCAATTTCTCTTGAAGCCTATCTTTTTAAATGTCAACATTCTTCCATCGCTGCTGCCTGGCTATGAGTTATAGAACGGTATACAGTCTGAGGATCACCCAAAGGAAAATGAGGAGGCACACCGGGGCGTGAGCAATCTGCCACACACTGAATTACGAAGAAATAGTTTAAAGGATGTGATCAAAGAAATGTATAAGTGAAAAAAAATTGGCTGATCACATAGCAAGAGCAAGGAACAAAGTATCAAACTGGGATGAAAAAAGACATTTAGAATTTTGCAATTCACCAATATGTGAATATTAGTTCATTTAAAAGCCAAAGTGGTTCAGACACTTTACTCTTTAGTTTTTCAAAGCCAATGAGGAATCATCATTCCATGATCAGGAGCCTTCATCAAAGTCCTACTGACTGCCTCATTGCAGTGGAGAGTAGGTGACAGTTGAATTTCCAAGGGCTAGGTCGACAGATTCCATGTTCTGACAGGGTCTACTGAGCTGCAGAATCTTTGAAAACAAGCCCAAGGCAGACTGTCAGTGGACTAGTCCGGCTAAGTCTGAGGAGGCTCATCACCTGTCTCTTGTGATGGATTTTTTTTCTGCTACCCCAAGACCACCCAGTAAGATAGAGTGGTGACCTGTGTTAATAAAGGGAGTGCCTACAGTAATAAAATCATAGAACCTTGGAACATTTGAGTCTCTATCAGTCATTTATCTATTACACATCAATTGCAACACATGAGCAAAAGTCACTAGTATTCAAAATGTAATCATCAGGCATTATTTAGGTTTTGATATCCAATAGCTAGGCAGAAATTCCACATGTAAATCATCATGCCTGAGCCTGAGGGTCAGAACATAACACTTCACCTAATGTACCCCAAGTCAAGGGCAGCTAGGTGGCACAGTGGATAGAGCTGTTCAGCCTAGAGGCAGGAAGACTCATCTTTCTGAGTTCAAACTCTGGTCTCACTTGCTAACTGTGTGACCCTGGGCAAGTCACTTAACCCTGTTTGCCTCAGTTCCACACCCATAAAATGAGCTGGAGAAGGAAATGGCAAACCACTCCAGTATCCATGCCAAGAGAACCCCAAATGGAGACCCATGAACGAAACTAAGAACAAAAGTTCTTGACACACATTTCCACCAGATAGGGAACTTTACCTTTCTACAAACAAGTACTTAAGGTTTATTTAACAAATTATAGCTCCTTTACACCATTCTTTCATATTACAAAATGCTTTATTCATAAATGATTGCCTTGGTAAGTTTGCAGTGGCAAGGATTAGCATTTGACCTATAAATACAACCTGTAGAAAACCCCACTTCTTTCAAAACAGTTGCTGATTTACAGATGAAACCGACACAGTTGGAGAGCAGTGATGATTAATTCCAAATAAAGATTTTTTAAAAAAAAATCATTTAAGAAACAGAAACTTGTCATGGTAATATTTTTAACATGGAAAATTTATGTGAACAGAGTGTGGGAAGACCTGAACTCAGGAAGACCAGAGTTCAAATCTTGCCTCAGAGATTTATTAGCTGTGTGACCCTGGGCAAGTCATTTAATTTGACTTAACCAATGCCAGACTACGCCCGAGTTGAGATTCAAACCCAGATCATCGGGATCTTCATGTGATTCATTTATATTTCACTACAATGTATTGCCTTTCAATAAAATTTCTCTCAGCTAGAGAGTCATTAAGTCTTTAAAAATGTTTTATCGGTGTTTCATTTTTTTCACATCAGTTTCCTCCAATATCCGTCCTCGTCCCCCTCCCAGAGAGCCATTTCATATAATAGAACCTTTCTAAAGACAAAGAGGAAATGAGTACTAACAGATCAATATGTTGACAAAGTCTGAAAACGTGGGCAATGTACACTAATGGACCTCCCACCTCTGCAAATGTGAGTGGGAGATACGTGCAGACGTATCTTCTCTCTTCCCATTTTTGTTGTAGTCACTGCATATACTGTTTTCTTGGCTCTGCTTATCTCCTGTTATCAGTTCATGTAGGTCTTTCCATGCTTCTCTTCATTCATCACATATATCATTTTTACAGCACAGTAATATTTCATTATAATGTACCATGCTATTTCCTGTAACCTTGAGCAAGCCATTTAACTACTTCTCTAGGTCCACTTTCATTTATCTGTCAAACAAAGGATTGGACTAGATGAGCTGAGGTCTCTTTAACGATAGCTAACATTTACATAGCGCTTATCATATATGTGTCGTGTGCTGTTCTAAGCATTTTACAATTACTTTCTCCTTTGTTCCTCACAACAACTCTGAGGGGTATATGCTGTTATTAACCCTCTTTTAAAGAGGAGGAAAATGAGGCAAACAGAGGTTAAGTGAACTGTGCAGCAATGCAGCTAGTCTGAAGTCAGTTTTAAACTCGGGTCTTCTCGTCTCCAGCCCCACAGAAAAGCATGGTAGTTCCATAATACAGTACTCTGAAGACATATGGTTACTGAAACCAAATGAGAAGATGTAAGGGAAATAGAAGTCTAGAAAAGGTAAACTACAATGACAAGGAGAACTGGTATGAACTCCTTGTATGAAGGCAGATAAAAAAGTATGTTCTTCTAGTCTGGAAACAACTTGGACCAAAGTCAAACCACAAATGGGGTCAATAAAGTGAAGAGATTTGTTCAAGTGAAGAGGCATTCCTGAAAACTTCAGGTTACAAAGTACTTCTTACAGCAGGTAATAAGTTTATTTAATTATTACTTCAAGAAGTTGTAGAAGATGAAAGGATGAACTTTCAAGAAAGAGATTTCTTGAAATAAATGCACAGAAATTCTGAAATGAAAGGGACAAACTTCACTCTGTCCCGTTCACTCCCTCATTTTAAAGGAGAGGAGCCAAACCCTGAATCGGTCTAGCCCCTTCCCTTCCCACTACATCATGAGAAGTCCTAAGAATGTCAATTTATAATTGGAAGCTAGAGATGGCTGTTGGAAATTTGGGGGGTGAGGGCAAGAATGTGCTCGACTTTTTAAGACTGGTAACAGGGAAGACAGGCCACCAAATATTTCTTGATGCCAATTTCAAAAACAGAATGCTGGATTGTATAAATCATGGGGTTTGACCCCATGTGGCAATTCTTGTCCTGTGGGGCCAATAACATTTAAGAAAAAAGAAAGGTACAGAAAGCCAGCAAATGGTATTTTCATGTTCATAAAAACTGAAATGTGATATGTGTCTACTTCTGGACTCAGGAGAGGTCTTTCAGAAAGACATGGCATATTTTCTCTAAATCAATTAAACCTGACTTACTGAAAATGCTGTTTCTTTTGGGTATGAGATATCTGGGAATAAAAACTTAACTTACTTCCTCTGACAACTGCATGCTGCTGAAGGTTGGAGGTGTAACAATAGTCAATCTAAAGCTTAACCAAAAAAAACAAAAAAGGAACGGATCCCCCACCCCTCCAATTTATGGATTTAAAAAAAAAATCAGCAACGAGTTCTCCTACCCTACCACTAGAGCCTGGCTTGATTACTTTGAAGTAACAACACTTGAAAGCTCCTATTCTTTGAAACTAATTTAAACACACTGAATTGTTGAAAGATTAAAAACCGCAGTCAGCTAATTACACTCTCTCTCATCTCTTATTCAGCAAATGAATCACTTTTCATTACCACTTAGCTGAAGTACATGAATTTCTGCCTAATTAGAAATGTTGTAGATGGAGCATTAGCAAGACTGGAGCAGGTCAGGTTATCTTTGCTGCTTCATTTTTAATTCCTAACAGTAGAGTCATATAGGAAAGGATGGAGAGAAGTCATTAAACAATTTTAAATTATTTATAAAAATTACTTTGCCCAAATTATAATTATTTTTTCCCCAAACAGTCTCAAATGTCAAACAGAATGAAGGAAAAAGCGGTTCAACAATGATTTTAATGAATATTTTAATGTTATGTATAACAGAACATTATGAATACAATGGGAACAAAGTTTTATCAATTTAATAAAAAAGAAATCCAACATAAAGAGGGGGAGGTAATAATTTGATACCTATATTATAGTGTTTATTTTCAATATTATTATTCCCAACTTGTGGGTAAAACAATTCATTTTGCATTCCAAACTCTAGAATCATGATTTTCATGTGATCTTAATGCAGAATTATAGCAGGAAAACAAAAATGTTTTTTTAATTAATTTCCTTTATTTTCCATTAAATCAATAAAATCTTTGACTGCTACAGGTCTCCTTTAATAATATATATTTAACTCCCGCTACTGGAACCACAGCTTGCAAATGCCATATTTACACCAAAAAACAAACAAAACGAAACCAAAACCAAGTATTGTATAAAATCTAAAAACCAACACTGTTGGGTTTAAACATTTATATTTAACTTAAAAATGTATTAAGGCTTTTTACCTTATTTTTTGAAAAGATGCCCAAAAAAATAAATATTTTTGCTCTGACAAATTTTGCTGTTAACCAATGGCTATGGGGATAGAGCAGAAAGAAGTCCTGCCCATCAATGACTACAAATTGTAAAGAATGCCTACTGAAAATAAAAGATGCTGGAGATCTTTTTGGAAAGGAAACCGTACAACAGCCCCAGAGAAAGCATTTCTCCCAGATCTCCACTGAATGATAATTATAGTGGGAGAACTGGGAGAAGCCCCTTCCATACCTATCACCAACTGCTTCAAAAGATTTGTTATAATAAAAATTTGGATAGTATAGCAGTGTGCCTGGAACATTAGCAAAAGTATATACATTCCAGTTACCTCTGATTTAGCCATAATCACATATGTAAGCCTTTTTTTGGACAAAAATAGATATTTTTATAAAAAACAGATTATCAGACTTGAATGACTTCAACTATGGACTCAAAAGCGGTAGGAAAAGCAACGGGTCCAATTATGACAAGGCGATTCAGGGACAGAAAAATCAAGTTCATCAGGTAAAAGAAAAGTATAAAATTAGAGATTCAAACAGATTTGTTCAGCCCTATTTCAGTCTTTCCACAAATTACAATGAAATTGCTTATGTAATTTATAAAGGCTTCTGATGGTCTCACTACAAAACATGGTCTAGGCTCATTGGAAAAAATAATTATACTGCCTTGTCTGAAGTGCCCTGGCCTGTCCATCTGGAACACTAGATATTTCACTTTTACAAAAAAGCCTTTTTGGTTTTTTTATGCAGGTTCATTTTTAGTAATTGATAAAAGAAAAGGGTACTGATCAGCATTTTCCACCCCAACATCACCTCTCTGCAGCTAAAAATCCTTCATTCAATCTGGTTCTTTATAGACTCTTATTTGCTAAAGTTGGCAAAATTTGCAAAGGCATCTTGCTTGGGTTGTACAGTTCCAGAAGCCATGGCCAGACTGGGCACTCCCATGCCCATTGTGCCTGTCAATCCCAGCCCCGCAGTTGGCATTCCCATGTTCACATTCATTCCCATCATTCCCTGGTTCATCATAGGAGCATTTCCAAGAGAGGCAATGCCCATTGTGCCAGTCATCACACTAGGCATGCCCACAGGCATGGGTCCTCCCATCAATGTATTGGTCTGAGGCCGGACAGGGATCATATTCGGTGGTGAGCTTAGGTTCACAGCTCCAAAGCTTTGGGTCATCACATTCATAGGCTGTTGCATATCTATGGGAAGAAAAAAGTTTATTGTCTTAAAGTTTCCACACAGAAGCAGAGTGGAAGAAGCCAAAGTAAAAACACAAAATTCCTTTGGAAATACTTTGTAAGGGCAGCTAGGTGGCGCAGTGGATAGAGTATCCAGCCTAAAGTCAGGAAGACTCATTTTTGTGAATTCAAATCTGGCCTCAGACACTTACTAGCTGTGTGGCCCAGGGCAAGTCACTTAACACCATTTGCCTTAGTTTCCTCACCTATCAAATGAGCTGGAAAAGGAAATGGCAAACCACTCCAGTATCTTTGTCAAGAAAACTTCAAATAGGGTCACAGAGAGTCAAACACAATTGAAAACAACTAGACAACTAAAGTTGGTAGAAAAGGCAGAACTTGGAAGTCTTCTGTTCCCAGCTAATCAGATGCTATTTTGTGGCTCCTGGCCCAGTTTTCCCCAAACAGTATTGTAGATGGAAGGGGAAAGAAGAAAACACGTGAGCCCCACTGTAACCATTGTTACCTAACCTCTTACTGGGTCCATACTAACAAAAGCTGTCAAGGTGAGAGCAGGAAAAGAAGTCATTTAATGTGATGGGAATAGACAATACGTGGCAGCAAAGGGAAGCCGTGTTTTAGGAGAGACTGTAGCTGGGCTGGCTCTGCAATTAAAGTAAGAGACTTCATGGCCTGAAGTGTTTTTGACATGGAAACCAGTCACAGCGCTGGCAGGAGGATTGTAGAGTAAAAGACGCACGGGAAGGGAACAATTCGAAGTTAAGGTGAAAGGGTCAGTGTCACTTACTCTGTTGCTGGATCATTGTGTTCAGAGACGGCTGCTGGGGTTTGGAAGGCTGCAGACCAGGTAGTAGGTTGTCCAGGCTAATGTTGACACTGGGGTCCGACCACGTAGATGGCAGGGTTTTGCTGACTGATTTCTGGACCATATCTGTATTCTGATTATAGAGAGGATTAGGCTTCTGCAGCACTGTGCTAACATTTTGTAAAGGCTGGAAAAAAGAAAAATGCTCTAAAAACTAAGCCTCTTCTCCATCGACACTATATGGGAAAATCAGAAAGTTGGATCACGTAGTAGTTTTGTCAAAAAGAAAGCACCACTATGTCAGACTTTCAAATGAAGCCCCTGGAACCAAAGACCAATGACAACTGCTTTATGTGAGTTTGTAAATTTTCTAAAAGTTTACATCCGTAGAGAGCTTTGGAGTTTATAAAGCAATTTCCTTATCAACCTTTTAAGCTACAAGTGTAAGAAGGGAGCAACTGACATGCACAGGTTAGTAAGTTTGCCAGCTAAGAAGTAGCAAAGCTGGCCCTGAAATCAAGATTCTGACTCATCTTTCCCTCTTTAATGACATTTTAAAATTGCATCTACACTACAAAATTAATAATCAGTTCCAACTTTGTGTGCTAATTTCTGGTGGAAAATGCCACCTTTATGACCCAAATTACCTGTTGATTAAAGAGACTATCCACAAAGAACCACACAATGTTAGTGAGGGGAGGGGCTTAGGCCAGAACCTGCATTTTAAAAGAAACTGAGGTCCAGGGTAGTCTGCCTCTCATGGTGAGTTAATTCAAGGCCCTTTCTACTACACATTGAGTACTCTCAAGGGTTACTACCAGCTACAGGGTGTGCCATACTTTAAGAAAATGTTTTTCATGAAAATATGAACTTTAACTTAGGTGTGTTCTCAAAAAGTAACCTAATTATTCCCCTTTAAAATAAGAAGGGTGAGAAATATATATGGTGCTCTGAATGCATCTATTATATTTTTCTGTAATTAATTCAAGGGAAAGGAGGTCATCCTTAGAGACCAGTCTGAGACAGAAAGGTAGGAAGACAATAGGGAAAATATACCTAAAAATATAAAAGACACAGGTATTAATGCAGAACTGACATTTAGCTTTAATTCACACTGCAAAAAGTTTAGGAGACTGTGTGCTTGGGAGAGGTTTTATGTGGTTCCAGAAAAAAAACCTGTTTGCTCACAGAGAGAGAATGTTCTCTATCCTGTTGGTGAGGTCTTTTTCAGCACCGTCCCACCTTCCTTGTCCTATTTCCTACCACCCAGCATTGTAATTTATTTTTTCAGTTCAATTTCTGTATCCAGCAGCGGTCACCTCTTTATGTTCTTTGTTCTCTTCCTGTATCCTAATACTTGGAGGAGTAAAACCTGGACACTGAAATTGGTAGTCAGCATCACAAAAACATTTGCTCAAGAGCCAAAGTCATAAAATTATCAAGTTTCCCACTCAAATGTTACCAACCTCTTAGCCTGTACTTATTTCAAAACTAATCATTCTTGATGTAGTAACATATGTGTGTGTGTGTATTTTATATATATATATATATATGAATAAAAAATGAAAAAACAACCCTCCTAAACCTTCTATTTTCACTTCATTCACATAAATGACCTAAGAAATTCTGAAAGAGAAACAGCTAAATAAACAAAGAGTTGACCAATATATGGTAGACTCAATCCATGAGATGAATGTTCACTTGCATGATACCATTTGGAGAAAATATTTTCTAAATTATTATAAATATTTTAAAAATAAACTTGTCCTCAAAATTAATTTTAACACCTCAGAGAGATAATGATGATCCACTTAAGTTTTGGTTTTTAAGAACACAGTGGAAAATTTTAGTGTATGTTATGTATGTGATGTATAAATAGAATGAAATTACTTTCATTTTTTTCCATCAAAAGTGGCATGCCTCAGTATGCTTCTTCATTCAAAATGAGTTCATTACCTTCTAAACCACCTTTACATTAACATTCTTAGTTTGGAAAACTGAAAAACACACTAGTTTCATTAAGTTGAAAATACAGAGAAGATGATTCAATATCTCCTGAGCTGCTGACTTTTCTTTTCTTCTGGGGGGAGGGGTGAAGAGACAAAGCACAGGTGGGACTGGACTTACCTGTGATCGTGACATGGGTAAACCAAGGCCCACTGTATTAGTGCTCATCATAGAGAAATTCATACTTTGGGAAGATGTCATGGTTCCTTGGGAGGAGCCCATTAAATCAAACAGATCTGAAGTATTTGAGGCTGCTGGAGGCTGACTCAGAGCTGGTTGTGAGCTACTGAAGAGTTCCACAGTTGGCTGGGAGGGGCTACTGAAAAGCTCTCCACTAGAAGCCATGGGACCAGAAGAAGCTTGGTTGAAGGCACTCCAGTCACCAAAGTCTCCATTCCCACTTGTTGCTGAACCTAGTAGGGGAAGGCAGTGGGGAGAGAAGAAAGGTAAGAGACTTTTTGAAAGGCACAGAACAGATGCAACACTCTGTGAACTGAAACAAATGAGAGCTGATTTGTGTCCATCCAGATTAACATCTGCAGGTACAATCTCCATCTGGACTTCCTTCTCTCTCATAAATATTCCATGAGTTTTAACAAGGTAGCAATGAAAAAAAAAAAAGAAACTCTTACATAGAAAGTAAAATCTATGTTTGACAGGTCTTCAGGTGACACACTTCTGAAATGATAGTGAAAGAGGTTCCCTTCAGCCAAGTTTACAAACTAAAAGTGCTTCTAGCTAGATGATAATGGTGTGTGCAGGCTGAGATTGTCAAAAAGGAAGAAGAGATTTTTCAGTCAGTTCTAAAATGACTGAACTTTTTCCAGGGAATACCAGTATTGAGAGAGAGAGAGAGAGAGAGAGAGAGAGAGAGAGAGAGAGAGAGAGAGAGAGAGGGAGAGAGAGAGAGAGAGAGAGAGAGAGCGAGCGCCTGGTAAGAGGCAACAAATGCTTTGAAAAACTATTGATATTTCATAGGACTGACTCTCTAGGAAACCAAGCTATTTAGAACATCTAAAACAACACCATTAAGTTAATGAAATTCAATTAATAGAGGAACAAAATAACAGAATAACAAGACAAAGAAACCAGTAAAATTAAGAGTATTCAGACTATCTATAGCACCTTCTAACTTACTTGGCCATTTCTTCAACGCTAGCACATTTTGCACCAAGTCATGATGTGGTAGCAATGCTAACTCATCCTGTTTCTTGCTTTAACTTGGTTGCAGTATCAATTTTTAGAGAAAATCTTTCAAGAGGCAACATTAAAAAAAGCAAATTAAAAAAACTGTTCCTTTAAAATAGATTTATAGTTTTAAAGCTGAAAATAAAGCTTTGTATGGAACATTTAATTCACAGTTAAGATCTGCTGTGGGCAAACGCATAATAACTAAGGGAACACCTTTCTCCTTTCAGTAAGTAGACAGCAAATTTTTCTTAACTCTCTCTTAAAATAAAGGTATTTAACTGTTCCAAACACCATAGTCTACACTTTCTACAAGTGAGCTGTACATGAGACTATTAAAAGTAAATAAACCTTTGAGAAATGAATTCATTTGCAGCCCCCAAGCACTTTAACAATTTAATTCAAGAAATCCATTACCTCAGGGCCTTCACTAAAGCTAGTCTTTGATCTCTTCTACAAAAAAGGGACTGTATTGGGATATTTCAACCAGTACCACATATTAAAACTTTAAACCCATTTTCGGTAATCTAGATGGATAAAGTAAACACTGAAGGTGCTAATTCTCCACTTATTTGACTAAAGTATGTTTTGGAAAATGGGGAGTGGAAAGGGCAAAAGTTGCTGCCTGTTTATAAAATTTTACCAAAGCTGATTAATCAAGAGAAATATTTCTAGTGGGGCTCTTATTATTCAGAAATGATTGATCACTTCACAAGTCTCTGCCCCTTGCATAATGCTGATCAGGTTAGATCAATCATACTCACACAGGTAAACAAACGTTATCATTTAAACTATGTACATATTCAAATGATGTACACGGCAGACAGGGTCACGTATATTAGAACTTTAAATATTGTAACTAAAGGGGGGCTTAAGACACTTTTTCTGTTCATTTTGATTTTCATGAACTGAAGTCTATTGACTCTTGGTTGTAGACTCAATCATAATTGCCAATGAAACATTGAAGTAATAAATCAAAAGCTCTGGTTTCCCACTAACCTATGTTTCTGGACAGCAGTTACTACCTCTGCTTGAAGCAGCTACTTTGGAGAATAAAGAAACATGTAATTTACTTTATGTTACACATAAATTACATCTCAAACTAAGGAATTCTGTATCTAACTCAGGAATCTTCTCATATCTGCATGGCCAATTATGGGTTTAAAAGAGGGGCAAACTGAAAAAAAAAAGCATACTGCAACTTTAAAAGGATTTTTTGGTAAAGAGTCTAGGTCATTAGACCATTACTAAAAAGCAGAACAATCTTTCATAAAGATTTTACTAGGACACATCTTTAAACAAATATTTAAACCATCTCCATATCTGTTTGCCCCTTCTTTTCACTGCTTATTCCTTGCCCTCTCCTCGGACAGCTGCATCTCTTTCTTTCTCTAAGCAGACTTAGAAAGGGACCTACTACGGCAGCCTTGTATCACCACTTCCTCCTTTTGGGACGTCAAAAAGAGGTTCTCAAAACATTCTAGGGCTATTTTAAGGTTCCTGCATCATGAAGTTTCAGCCTAGACAGTTATATTTTGTAGTAATTTATTTAAATAGCTAAATTATTAAAGAGTTTGAGCTCAGCAGTTCATATCAGTCTTGATTTATCTGAGAGTTCTTCTGGACAAAAAGAGACTACCTTCTAAACTACACCACAACCACAAGGCTGGCATAAACACGGACTGGACTTCAATGCTTGATTTGACTCCTCCACTGCTCCCAAAATGAGGATATTATGTATAACTTGACACTCAGTAATTCCAAGAAAAGGCAACTGACCTGAATTACAATTTTTCTCCAAACCAAAAGGCATTTTTATAAATAAGAGATTTATTCAACAGTACAACAGTATGAATCATTTGCCAAATTTTACTTTTCATCCTAAATGCGCTTATGAGCGAACAGGAAGTCACACATACAAGAGATGGAAAAAAAACCAAAACTCTGAGGGGGAATTTAAAAAGGAAAAAAATTCTTTAACTTAACCCTTTAGTGACATAGTCAATAAACTCTTATCATACCTTGTGAAGGGAAGTTTCCTGATGCAGCAGCTGATCCAAAGTCAGCAAACCCTCCAAACAGATCAGCTGATCCGCCTGGAAATTATGGCCAGAGAAAAAGTAAACATTACCTTCAAATAAGAGGCAGTAATTCCAAAGCCATTCTTAAGATCTTCATTTTTAGAATAGAAAAAAAAAAACAGACCCCTCTCCCCATAATGCTTAAAAGCAAGAGTTAACCAACATTAGTTTGCACGACACCACAATGGTTCTCCTAAGTAACTAGTGCCACTCAATTCTATTTCTCGTGAAATAAAATGCACCATTCTGGGTGTTAAAGTCATTACATTAAAAAAAAAACCACCAAGCTAGGGATGCCATAAAAAGGTGAAATTATTCTGCTATTAAAATCGGAATCTGATTGGGTTAAAAACCAAAACACATAACAAATGGGGAATATCAAAGCCCTAATGCTTCAGGGAGATTAATTTTTAGCACGAAAATTCTGGTCCACATATTGTCAAAATGTTAACCTTAAAAATATCAGGATTCATTTTTCTGATGTTTCAAGGGCAAAGTGATGCTCATTTTAAAACTAAAGTACTTAAAAAAAAGAGTCCAAATCACAAATCTATAAATATATAGCTCAAATAATGCAACACCTAATTTTTAAAATTCTTGTTTGTAAATTTGTGCCAAATTTAATTTCTAGCAACAGTTTCAACTGAAATGTATCCTTTCAAGTTACACTATTATAGTGAACATTTCTTTCTCCATTTCTGTTTTAAACTTTCTAATCGGCTGACCTAAATTCTGAAATGGCTGCCCTTATTTTTGTTTGTCCTCAAAGAATTCACCTCATAACAGTCACAACCTTAGACGTAGCAGCAGCTCAATTATTGTGCTTTTAGTGTTATGCGTACATTATATAGGTTACATCACAGCTGCTTAGCCTGCAGTGCTTAGAAACTAGCCAGGTGGGACTGGAACATCTGTGCTGCACTCAAACACCACCAGGGACAACTTCCAACATCTGGTGCCATTTCTGAATTGTCTTATCGCTGCAAGACATTCTGCCCCATCTGCTACACTCAACTGGGTTAATTAAACTAGAACCATCTCCCCTTTTTAATAAATGGCCAGCAGTAATGAAAGGAACAATTCAGTTTCTGATACATGTGTACTTGTATTCCTTTTTAATGCCATTTTATTGTACTCAGCTATCAGCAGGCATAACAAATACCTTTCTCCCTCCCCCAAATGGGATCTAGCATCAACTACAACTAAACTCCTAAAAGATATTAAATCAAAGCTGGAGTCACATTTCTGTACTTTATATATATAGTCTTCAAAGCATAATGTCATTACTACCTTAGTTTTCCCAGTACTTGCACATGCATTACATTATGTGCTAATTAATTAGTAAATTAACCTGATCCATAAATTAATCCAATTTGTTTACATTAATTTAACAGTAATTTAAAAAAACAAACTCGAATATAGGTCAAGGAAAATAACCAATTTAAACTAACAGATTTATTATTGGATGACAGGAACTGTGTTTTTATGATTCCATAGGATCACTGATTTAGAGATGGGAGATGTTAGGGGTCATCCCCTCATTTTACAGGAGGAACTAAAGCTCAGAAAAGCTAAGTGACTTGCCCAATGTCACAGGGAGGAAGTGGAAGAAAGGCTCCAAATCCAGGTCCTGCAACCCCAAAGTCAACACTTTCCCCACTGTACCACACTGTTTTATATTAACAAATGTGAAGAGGAGAACTGTTTTCAATTTCCCCAAATGATGGCCAAACACAATGTATTTTCACTTAAGCACCAGCTCCCCTCAAACTGTGGACTTTAAATTTAAATGCTCCCATGTCCTAAATTAAAGCCCTGAGTAATCCACTTGGTTCATTACACTTTTCCACCTTTTACATAAAGGCCATCCATAAAAGGCATTTGTTGTAGACTCTAAGTATCTCCTCACCTTCTATACCATAAAACAACTGCCCAAATCAAATGCGTTAGAGGAAGCCCAAGTGGACTACCTTTTATAGGAAAGGGCCATCATCACCTCAAAAGGACAGCTGATATCTCTTTCACCTCATAATTATCAAGTGCATTCAGTCCAATTACGATTCTGTTTAGGCTCAACAAAACAAATACTACCTTAAGTTTGATGTTTCAAAGTTTTGAAACCAAAACCTCTTACGTTTCAGTCAAATTTCCTCACTTGCCTGGGAAATCTACCTTTTACCCACACGTGTGGTATAATTCACATAAAAATGATTAAAGCCACCAACATTTTTAAATTCCTTGGGTTGTCCCTGCTAATTTCTTTGAAGAGAATTTTAAAAGCTGTCTTCTGACCCCTCACATTCTTTGTTGATAAGAAAAAATGTTCCCATACTCTATGCAGAAAGTATATATATTGGTCTATCACAAATCAAATGCATGTGAAAGACTGTTAAACTTCACAACATGAGCTATCCTTCAAGATTCCCACATGAGAGCTGTCATTATAAATGAACCATTTCCATCTGCCTTCTCAGGGCAGCAAGAAGGTTATTTACAATCACCAGCTGGTAACATGTCTTTTTTCACAACCCTGTTATACAAAGGAAAAATATAGCCAAACTACATGATGTTTAAAATACAGAGTAAATAACACCTACTTTGAGAAGTATTTTCATCAGCTACATATTAAAACTGATGGCTAAAATAAAACTGTCTATTGCAGGAACACCTGATTTTTGAGTCGGTAACCTGAGAATGCACTAGGTGTTTAATATTAATATTCATGTAAACAACTTCATTCTAAGTCTTGGTTTTGTTAAGGGTTTCACTACAGATATGCACTTAAGTATGTATTTAAATCTCTAAATTATTCATTACTAAAAAATCCTTGGCATAGATATAATGAAAACTAATTTTTGGATACTTTGTAATTTTATGAGGTTGATAAGAGGATTTTATATTATTCTCTTTTTTATAAGAGAAAAGTACGTCAGTAACCTATAATTCCCCCTTGAATCCATAAGCCAACACGCTTTAATGGGCATCTCCCAAATTTGTACTGAGTATATTTTTTCTTTTGAACACCACCAAGCATATAAATTATCTTATATGAGGGCATTCTATGGATCAGTGCTTTAGTTAGTTAAGAGGGACCTTCAGAACTGTTTTTGAAGGAAATGTGATATATTCAGTAAAAGTAAAAGAGGTTCCCCTTTCCATATCTGATGCTTGCTATCTGCCATCTATAAAAGCCACCAAAATATCCCTACGACATAGTTACACATGAAAACATCCCAATATCAGAAAGTTTTCATGGCATCTAGTAATGAATCTTGATGAATGGTTGGGTGTCAGTCTTGTTTTAAACTCAGTGGAACATTTTATAACAGTTTTACCATAGGTATTCTCAAAGATGCTAACAAGTATGAAAACCCCTCTAAAACAGAAAAATTTTTCTTTTTTTCCTCAAAGGAGATAGTCATCTGTAAGCAGCACAGATGCCATATCTACTTAGCTTTTACAGTTCATGCTCTTATTACCTGCAGGATGGCACAAGTATAAGTATAGGCACATCTGCTAAACAGCACCCAAATGGCATCCCACACAGCAATGTTAATGTGACAACTTTCCACACCTTCAGATACATAGGTGAATCTTTTTTCAATAGTAAAGTCAATTTGAAACTGTTTGTATATTATTAAAGCATTTAAACAGAGATCCAGGGCAACTGATAAATTTTCTCATGTGACAAACTGGATTTAAGAAAGACTGAAAAAACAAGAAAAGGGTCTTATACGTAATTTCTAAGACAATTCTTTCATTTTGCTTAATGTGAGAATTTAGAGATTCTATTCAAACTTTCACTAAGTATTAGGGAAAAAAGTTGACATAACTTGAACTATGGTTTCTCTGCCACCATATCTCACTATATTAATAATGATTTCTATTTAACTGGTCAAACTGCTGGTACTTGAGGAAGAAAGCTGCTCAAAGGTTTCTTGCCAAAGAAAGGAAGCATGTTGGTGCTTAAAACTCTCTCTGTTCAACGTAATGAAGGTTATGTTCATCCAACTGACCTTCCTAGGATTGCTCTATCACAAATACACCAGAGGTTACGTGAAAGAAGCTGTTTAACACTTCAATCCAGGAAGTCCAAAATAGTTGCTACTTTGTGACACTAATTCTGTATTAAAGATAAATTTCAATTTAATAATTTTATATATCTATATAAGGAGAGAACTCAAACTTAAAGCACACCCAAAAGAAGGAAAATGAATCATAGGCTAAAATATTTAAGAATTCTTTAGGGTTGCCAAACTAATAATGTTTAATAATTTTAGATCTATATCTATCTAGGGTATGAACATGAAGAAACAAAAAGGCAGAAGCAGAGAGAAGGACAGATGGGAACCTAGACTTTCTAATGCAAACAGGCCAGGTTTATGAATGAAAATACCTTCAGTTATGTCTTCCACTTAACCAGAATGAAAACTGTTTAGCTCAAATCTGCTTTAAATATTAACTGTATTCAAATTGTAGCATTCAGTCTACTTTGGAAGATTATTCATCTCTTTCTTTATCCTATCATCTTTCTTCTTGCTGTCTGAATTTTACTTAACATGTATTTAAAGCAGACTTAGCAAAATATTTGCTTTGCATTAGGAGTTTTACTTGTTGACCTGTCTTCACCAAAACAGTAATTTATTGTACTACAATCATACACACAATCTTAAAAAAGAATAATTTTCCTGAAATCAAATTTTCAAGGTTTTAAAAATATATGAAAGGGGTAGCTAGGTGGTGCAGTGGATAGAGCACTGGCCCTGAAGTCAGGAGGACCCGACTTCAAATCCAACCTCAGACACATAACACTCACTAGCTGTGTGACTCTTGGCAAGTCACTTAACCCCAATTGCCTCACTAAAAAAAAAAAAAAGTTAAAAACACACACACACACACACACACACACACACACACGCACACAAAGGACACTTAGATATAGTAGAGATTTAGAATGAAAGTTAAGATTTTATCTCCATGTACTGAAAAAAACCTACACAGACTGAGGAAATAGTATCGGTGGGCCTCCTTCCTCCAAACTGAACAAAAACTTGCCATGCCTTCTAAACAATGCCTCAAGTTCAAAGAGCCAAAAGAAATTACAATTCTATGGAGGAGCAATAAAACAGGCAGAACCTAGTACTTTATCCTCCTAAAGCAGAAAGAGCTCAATGGTTAGGCAGCTTTATGAAGAAAAGCATTATCCTCTCTCCAAGTCAATTCAGAAAAACTAGAAAGGGACAAATGTGGTCTCAGTGACAAATTCTATTGAGCATATATAAGCTGAACATAACACTAATGTTATCTAGAGCAGGATTACTTTAAAATCATCGGAATGAAATCTTCTAAAAAGTGATTTTATAATAAGCTTTATTTTTTTAAAGTTATTTTACCCACAAACATATAATGCACAGAGTACTATGCTAGGTACTGAGGATGCAAACTAGCAGGAGGCTGGATTAGATGACTTCTGAAGCCCCTTCTGGTTCTAAATCTGTAAGTCTATGAGGAGGTATGGCTCCTACTTTCAAAGGATTTAGATCTTGTTGTGAACAGGAAACATACATAAAAGATAGTAGTAGCAAGGTAAATACTTGACTAAACTGAGCAAATCAAGCTTGAAGTTTCCTCCAACAAGATGTCCTCTATTCATATTGAGATCATACAGAAGATTACTTGAGAGCTCTGATTACAAAGATAACTATTCAACAATCCTTTGATAACTAATGCTGCTTAAGCAAAGAATAAAATGGGGAGACACCAAATGTGTCTGTCACGTCATAAAGGGCTACCCTAAATTTCTAAATATTCCTGTTTGTAGATACGTCAAGCTAAGGAGTTCTACAAGGTTTCCTCAATGACATTCTATCCACTCAAAAGAGACTGGCCTAGTAATCATGCAATGAAAATGAAAACAAGGAAAAATGCATATTATGCAGGCAATAACATTGAATGAGTGTGTCTGTGGATGAATTAGTATTATTTTGTTTGTTTTTTCTTAATTTTAATTTTTTTAAGGCAATTGGGGTTAAGTGACTTGCCCAGGGTCACACAGCTAGTAAGTATAAAGTGTTTGGTCTGAAACCGGATTTGAACTCAGGTCCTCCTGACGTCAGGACCGGTGCTCTATCCACTGCGCCACCTAGCTGCCCCATTAGTATTATTTTGGACAAGTGTTGAAGACAGACAATGAAGAGCTAGGCCCACGACTGAGCAAAGTGGGCTGGACTGCACTTGGGAAATTGTATAGCATTTTCAAAGATTCCCAAGTTGATTCCTGCCATGAAATCACATCTTTTAAACAGCAATACTCTACCAGTGATACAATGTGGCTATCACAGAACACCAAGCCCACAGAAAAATCAAAATGCAGGAGACCCAAAGAGAAACAGAAAAACATTTGGGGCAAAGAAAGGTGTACGAAAGTTAAGTTGTAGCATGCTAATGTTCCATAATAATGATCACAATGGCATAAAATATTCATCAAGGACATATGTGACCAGAAAAAAAGAAGTGGGCTGGTCATGTAGAAAAGGCAGGGGTTAACCGGCTGGACAATATTAAAGACTAAACAAATTCTTCTGTCTCATAGATAGTACATGGAGGATGTATGAAATGATAGACAAAAATCAATGAGAAAATATGGCAGGGTTGCAATCTGGAAGGGCAGCTACACCTTTAAGTTCACAGATCTATGTCATATGTCATATGCTACATGGCAACTCAGTGGCATAAATTACAGGTAGTACAAGCACTGAGAGAGATGTGATCACTTAATAGTTAGCCTTTCCTTTACATATAATCAGTTAATATCATGACAGAACTTCAGATGAGTAGTCAATCTCTCTCTCTGTCTCTCTCTCACCCCCCCCCCCGCAATCCCTTGCCTTAAGCACAGCTGTCTTTTCTACCTTTCTTTTTATAGGATCATGAAATATTTGAATTACAAAATATTGACTGAGAACATGTAGTCAATCTCTTTGTTTTACAAAAGGAACTGATGCTTGTAAAGTTTCAATGACTTGACCACAGTGACAAGGACAGAGTGGGGACAACAGAAGAAAAGTCTTCCTTATTCCTAATTTAATGCTGCTTCCATTACATATTACACAACCTCATTTTCAGAAATACCATTTTAACAACTTTCTTCCCAGTTGTTTAAAAGTGATACGATACGTTTTTTATTGGGGTCAGGTTCTGTGACGAAAGTTTTTTTAGTGAGGAAAAAACCAAAGTAACCATGAAGCTTACCTGTTGGTTGGCTAGTGCCATCAAACAGTAGATCAACAAGGTCACCAGATGATTTGCTGCTAGGCACTGAAGTCTAAAAGTAAACCCACAACATATAAGTTTTAAATACACTTAATTTATTAGATTTTTCTAGAACACAACTCTTCAAATGATTAAATTTTTAAGTAACTGAAAAAGTTGACAGAAACTCTGGCCAGCTAGACAATTATTAAGTTTTACATTTTATTCATTTCTACTTCTAAACAAAGCAGCTAGATATTCATTTTAAACAAGAGGAGTCATATTATTCTTAAAAAGACTAGAGCACAACCAGGAGAATGTTGTACACAGTAACAGCCACGTTGTGCAATGACCTTGACAGACTTAGCTCTTCTCAGCAATGCAAGGACCTAAAACCTCTCCAAAAGTCTCATGATGGAAAATACTATCCAAATCCAGAGAAAGAACTATAGAGTTTGAATGCAGATCGAAGCATACTATTTGCCCTTTTTTTTTCTTGTTTTGTTTCTTCTTTCTTGTGGTTCCTCCTATTGGTTCTAATTCTTCTTACAAGATGATTATTGTGAAAATATGTTTAATAGGAATGTATATGTACAGCCTACATTAGATTGCACGCTGTCTTGGGAAAGGAGGCCGGGAGGGAGGAGAAAATTAAAACTCAAGAACTTATCAAAGTGATTGTTGAAAACTAAAAATAAATTAAAAAAAAATAAGACTAGTTAAGGTCAACTACAGAGACAACTCTGAAATGCAGAGTTAGGCACTTGCAGTCCCAGATTCCAATCTGCACTAGGCAGATGTGGTTCCTCAGAAGAAGCTTCCAAACATTAATGAAATCATACTTCTAGTTAAAAACAAAATAAGAAAAAAACCTTGGCAAACACTGACAAGTCTACAAACATTTATTAAGTGTCTACAGCACGTCCAAAACTGAAGGCATTATGACAAATACCATGACGATAACATGATCATTATCCTAAATCAGCTCATAATAAAACTAAGTTGGAAGAACCAAGATATATATATATGAAAATTAGAGAGGAAAGATAACTGTAGATAGGAGTGATCCCCACAAAAAAGCGGGACTTTAAAGAGCTGGACTGATAAAAGAGTGTGCAGGGGGTTTCATATAAATATACATGAATCCAGTCGGGCAGGTCTGGCTAGGAAAGGCAGGGCCAACTGATGGACTCTGAATGTCAGGTTAAGCGACACTGTACTGCCTCAAATTTCAAATACATAATTCATTCTTGTCTGAACCTTTGTTTATGATGTTTATTCTCTTGTCCTTTCTATCAAAACAAATTATCTGAATCTTTCAAAAGATCAAATCAAATGAGATAATACTTGGAAAGCACTTAGCACACTACCTCGCATACAGCAGACACCATATTCTACTTATTCTACTCCCCTCCCCCTTCAAATCAAGCCCTACTGTGTTCATGAAATCTTTTCTAATTATACACTACCCTACATTAATCTCTCTTTTCTCTGAGCTAACATTTAGTCTAGACCAGTGGTGTCGAATTCAAACAGGAAAGGAGGTCACTAAACCATACATAAAGACGCTTGGGGGCCACGTACTAACATATTAACATTCTCTATGTCCTATTTTTATTTATTTCGTTAAATATTTCCCAGTAACATTTTAATCTGATTTGCGTGGTACTTGAACGTTGTGGGTGGGCCACATGTTTGACACCTCTGGTCTAGACTAGGCAATCTAGTATTGATATCTATATTTGCGATGATTCTTCTTCCTAAACAGTCTCATGTACATACTGCCTCCCTAACTAAACTGGGTACTCTGGTTCTGAGGTCTTAAAATATTTGGTGACATATCACATCTCCCAATAACAGGTTTGAATAACAAGTGATTTTTTCCCAACCAAGATTAGGCAGAATTATAGACCAATGTGGAAGGTATGTTGCTCATTACCTATATAGTATTTATAATCAAATCTATGCTATACTACTTATACCTAGCAAGAGTTACATGAAACTCTCAAGATGTATATATATATTTTTAGTTTTCTAAGTCAGCATATGATAGAAGATAGAGTTGGAATAAGAACTTGGAGAAAATAAAACACTGAGAAAAGCATCAATATCATAGATGAGAATTTATCTAAACAGGCAAGTTTCGCTATTAACACTGGCAAATTCAGCATGTCAGGTTCACTTTTAGAGTGACTGATGAACAATTTGAAGCAAAATAGTTTCTGATACTCTCCAAAGCTGACTGGCAAATTGGTACACCCCTCACCCCTTTTCAAGTGTATATTAAATATATATATGTAAATACAGCCCCTATGTACTTTAATTTCTTTTCTAAAATCTTCAATAGGAGTCCACACTCAGAAATTCTTCTATGGCTCCAATAGTGACATTAGTGATTCTCAGAAGACAGAGGTAGCTCCAAGAAAGAAATCTATAAATGACATTCTGTTTCTTCTACCTAAAAAGAAATGTTGCTTCTGCATTCAGGATTTGTGTTCAGGGGTCACCAACTGAATGCTTTCTCTGCCCAAAGAGCTTTCTTACCATAAACAGCTTTGCTGGAGAATGCCTAATTAACATGGCTACCTACAGTAGACTGGACTGTGCCCATGCTGCAGAATTTTGAAAATATACAAACTTAGGGATATTCCTACCTTTATTGAAGACTGAGGTGGATGAGTTGTAGCATTCTGATCTGGACTTGCTTTATCCCCTGTGTAATGGGCTGCGGCTCCAAGATCGATGGTTTTGGAAGGATTTGCTGTGCGTTTGTGTCTAGTGGTGGTCGTCTCTGTGGCCTGTGTAATGTGAATGTGTTTCGTCGTCACAGTTTCCTCTTCATCTTTGAACTCACTTTTGGGAGATTTACCTCTTCTCGTTTTCTTTTCTTCATCACTATCACTAAAAGATATTTTAAAAAAATCAAGCAAAATAGTAAGATGGTACTATTCTGAAACACTTATCCTTAGGAATTTGAGGCACAGTAACAACAAAATTCTATACTTCATTATACTGGCTGAGATCATCAGAAAGCTATCTGAATAAATACTCTAGTGAAAGGAACAGCAATACATTTCAAACAACCCTTATGAAGTGCATAACTGAAAATAAACGACAAATAAGTGTTACATAGATCTCATGTGACACCCCCCAAATCTTGTGAAATAAATAAATACTGCAAACACCATTATCTATCTCAGTGTTGTCAATAAGGAAAATGATTGAGGCCTTGAGAAATTAACTGATTTACCCCAGGCACCTTTCTGCTATATTATACTGCCTTCTAAAGAGCCCATCAGTGCTCACTTCATCTGAGATTTGGAGTCTTACTTACTTAAAAAACAACATATCAGGGTCATCTTGACAGAGGCATTATCTTACCAGATTTCCACAGTGTAAAGCACCTAAGCACCTGGGTTTCGCATCCATTTTCTTGCAAAGAGGCTTGCAAAATGGCTTCCTGTTTAGTTCTTCTACATAGTACTATATTATTACTAACTCACCTGAGCAAACTTTTCAACCACTACAATTATTATCCCCTATTTCAATGGACAATTAAGCTGATTTCTATGTGAGGAAAAAAAAACCCTCAGAATTTAATTCACTTAATAACAAGTATGCTGCATTTTACTCTACATGGAAAGCTTAAATGTACTGAAATATTTTGAATAATTGCCTTCTGGGTAAAGTCTAAAACAAAAGTTTGTTTTTAACAGAATAAAATAAAATGGGCTGGTGCCCTTAGATATCAGAACTCAAATCAACACTGGTGATCTGGGAGAAAATAAGTAGAAGAATATGTCTCTTGTCCTGTTTTATCTAATCTTAAAGTAGGCACTGTAATTTAGAGATGATACTTAATATAGTATAGAAAAAAAATCCCTACTTTGCTCTAAAAATTACTACTGAAATGCTCTAATTCAGGCTAGGCTAAAAGTAATTTTCTACTTACATATGAATCATTTTGGAACTCTGAAAATCTAAAATGAAGCAGACCAACTTTCCACAGAGAAAGGTGCTAACATAGTTTTATAGCTACATGGTTTTAAAGCCACAACTTTGAAAAGCATTCAGTGGCCCTTCCTACTTAGCAGCACAACAATAACTGGACTGAAGAATCATAATAGTAGTGTTGTAGATCATGCTAGTTATGCTGATGGAAATCTTACTTTTTTGCATTCCACACATTTTAGATCCAGACTAACTTTGTAGCTTGTGACTTTCAAGCCCAAGTTACCAATAATGAAGTAATGAACTCTGTAGTTCGAGTTCTAAAAAGCACCACAAAAAGATCAGATTTATCAACACTAAAGGATTCTTTATTATCCTTGTGCCTATTTGTTCTGGCCTGATATTCAGAAGTGTCTACTAGCCGTCTAAATATCTACATACCTCATTTCCCAAACAAGAAAGTGACAAAATAGATCTTGGACAGAATGTTTTGCATGTTCTAAGGAGTAAAGCCTTTGTTGTGTCAATTATTAGAATTTAATCGAGTAGGCCATGCTCCCTTGCTAATTTATCTCTCTATATTCTTTCATAGCCTTCCCTCTACTACAACCTGAATACTCCAAACCAGAGAAAAATAAAAATGATAAGTTCTTGGACATATGTCTTATTGTAGATTTAAGGAATGAATGGGAAAAGTTAAGCAAGGGAGGAGAGAAAGATGTGAAGAAACAGTAAAGAAAAAAGTTAAGATCAGAACACAGTAGAGGATATTCAGATGCAGAAAGTCAGATCCTTAGTAAATGGGCTGTCTATATCATCACCTCATTTATCTTTTGGGTAAAGCCCTTCTGTACAAGAACGCCAAAAAGAAAATTCTAAAAACTCATAAATTTTTTGGCCAATAAAGACAACATTCCAGAAATAATCTTGAAAGTGATGGTCAGTCTATGGTATTCCCAGGACCCTGAGATATAAACGAATGTGCTGAGAAGCAGGGTATTAGTAAATATTCCAGTACCTGCACAGCCTTTAAATAAAACAAATATCTCAGGAGATTAGTTTCACTGTCACAGAAATATTACAGATTAATGTTCCCTTTAGAGGTAGCAGACTTCACTAGGTAGGGAAGACATACTTAACACAGACTTATGAAGAAGCAACTTAACGAATGCTGAAATAGTTTAGATTTTGCTCTATACAACTACTGGAGGAAAATGGGATGCACAAAAGTAGATGTCATACCTCAGAAACATACTGTGGCAATTAATTCTTCTGGTTTTTATTACTAACCTATTGGGTAAGTTACTGTTTTTTAAACGTATATGATATGAGCACACTACGAAGTGGCAGAAAGCAGAAGAATAAAATTCAAAATCTTAGCGTTTTCTTGTATTTTGGAGAATCATTTCAATAAACTTGCAGTTCCCACATTCCCGTCTGAGGGGCAATTTCTTCTTCCTTACGTATTTCACCTGACACCTTAAGGCAACCCACATCCTGCTGTAGAATCAGAATAAACACCAGCAGTTCTTGTTCTAATCTAAACCATAGGAGAGACTAAGTGACTTTAAGTAAATGCATAGAGAAAACTTGTTCGACTTTAGGGATTGGTGAGAGTGACTGATAAGGAAAATGAATTAATACTGCTGGCAAAACACATCTGACACAGACATTAAAAAAAAAAAAGCCACAACCCTTTCCAAGAGACCTAGGAGACAAAGTGTTAATACCTGCATCTTTCTGGGGAGTCTTCTCTATCTTTCCTGCGGAACTTGCTGATGGTGTCATCAATTGTGCTTCCAATTTTATCACTCAGTTCACCTAATTTATCACTGAACGGAAAAGCACTCTTGTTTTTATCCCATTCCTCATCCCATTTTGACTTTGGTTCAGGATCGTACCTTTCACCTATATGATGCATTAAAAAAAGTAAAGCTAAGGACATTAAATTCAAAAAGATGCCTGCAGTTCTAATTTCTGAAGCTTTTCCTCCTACAAAACAGTTTTCAAAGCAAAACTGAAAGCTCCCACTGTGCTGAATCAACACAATTACAGCAAGGCACAGCATGTAATGCCAGTCATTAAGTGGCAGGAATGCAGATTCAAAAGCTTTTGTTTATGAAAACTTCTACAGCCTTAATGCCCAGCCCAGCATATCAGGAAGTTCTTAAATGCTGCTGAAAGGATCACCACAAGATAGAAAAATCAAACACGATGATAACAAGAAAATCAGGAATATAAAAAAAATTTAATAGTCATTTAAAGAAAAACATTTTGTTTTGGAGAAGATTTTAAGATACTTTAATGCTATGAATATATGAGAACTACCATGGCACTCCAAAGCCTAGGAAAAGTATGTAATTTTGCCTTATTAAATGAAATCATATATTAGAATACGTCATGAAGAAAACCTACAGGATCATTAAACAAAAATCAAATTTCAGAAAAGAATGGAAAAGAAACGAGCACCACAAACATTTAGTTAAATAATACTGAACTGACACTAAAACATTACTTTCCAACTGGTTATATCTCTGTTTTTCAGCAGTTAAAAAACGACTGACAGCAATTTTGTATATTCAAATGAAATAAAACAAATTCTCATTATCAAAGTTATACATTTTCTAATATATCAAATGAACTTAATAAGAGTTCTTTGTTTTAAATGACAACATCATCTGGTAGGGAGAACAGTTTTGTCTCAAACCTTTCTACTGTGTAGCTGGGGTAAGCAGTGGCTAGTCAAAGAAAACAAAGTCTTGCCACTACCAGTTACACAGAGTAGAAACAAGATGACTAACAAAAAGGACCTTGGCATGAATGTAAACTAAACAGTTAAAAACAGAACATCACTTGATCAATGAACTAAACCCATCGTTCAAACATACACTTGGACTTGCATTACTTAGGAACCGTACGCTTGAACTGTACATAGGAAGCAGTGAGTAAACAGGCCTAAGACCATAATTTCAAGAACTTCATTTTCAGTCTGGTTCATCTGGTGGCCTCAGAGAGAAATGAGGAAGAACGGCAGTAAGTAGGATCTCATGCAGTGAGCTCGGGGGTATATTCTTGCAAATATGTCTAGACTGCACTTAGAAAAAAGTGGCAATAGGCTATGAGGTGAAATGTGACATGGGGGAAAAACAGGGGGTGTAGGGGTAATCTCTAAATGGACTAATGCAAGCAGACAAGGGATGGAATGATTTGCTAACTAAAAATAATGAACTCTGGAATAAACTAGCATTTAATAAAAAGACTTCTTTCAATAACGGTTTCTCAGTCTCTTAAGAATAAAGACAGTGTGCAGGTGCTTCTAGAACAGACCAACATTATTTAAATATGGCCCAACAGTCTTTGAAAATAAAAGTGCTATACTAGTATTTACAATAATATCTAAAGATTAAAAGAACATGTTTTTTTAAGCCTAGAAATACTCCAACTCAAAAGGAATAACTATATCCATGCTACCCAGACAAAACCGAACTTGGCTAGGTTTATCTCTTCAATATCAGGGATATTTTCCAACAATGAAGTACAATCATAGGCAAAATATAGATTAAATTATAAAAACAAGAATTATAACAGAAAAAAATTATCATAGATTATGTACAAAGGCATTACACAAAAATTGTCGAATGGTTGTGATATCATCTCACAGAAAAAGGAGCTCTCATTATGTGAGAAACGGCTATTTGAGTCTCTGGGGTACATCAACTACAATTTCAAAAATTTTAAAAGCACAAAAACATGACAGAAATAATGAAAACCTGCAACTATGCCGAATTACTTTAGCTCATTATGACAGACTTTAAATGCTTCACATTTCAAAGGTATCTTAAAGCTCTAAATTCGATGACCTTAAGTTTTCTATCACTACAAGATATACTTATCTAACTATACCAACAGAGAGAAGAGGGATATGTGCAGGTAATCTGTAAAGCAAATGTACTGAAAAACATGATTTAAAATTTTTTAAAAAGGAAATCATTAGTGCTCCTAAACTACTCCTCTGCTGAACAAAAATTTTAAATTTCTTAGATTCCTAATAATGTGCTTTAATTTTAAGTATAATAATCAGGACTATTTGCTCTTCGTACTACATTTCTATTAATATAACAATTTTCTGATTTTAGAAGTACTCCTGGATTTCAGGAATATTTATGTTCAACTTCTTTTTCTTTGTGGGAAGAGAATGTAAGAAATTAGAAATTCTTCATGCTTCCATATGTAAGGTAATAAAATACTTTTGTACAACTTTCTATATACCAGCAAATCCAAATTTGTGTGTGAATATGAGTATGAAACTGTGTGTGCTTCCCACAAGATCAGAGGATTATTAGAGCCCCTAGCATAGGATAGTATAAGCTCAATGTAACGTACTCACAAGGAAGAGTTACTCTTATTCTACATTTATACAAACGTAAGGTGGCCCATTTTAAGGGTCCTGTTTCAAACAGATTATGTTCTAGCTTGTTCAGGAGCAGCAGCAATGAAAAACATAAGTAAGCAAGTCCACTATAGCCATTCTAATTTATGTAAACCTGAAGCTATGTTAGGCAACAATAGTGAAACAGCGTATGACCACAAGCCTAATGGCTACTGAGGATCTGAATTCAGTTATTTCACTGCATGTAGGAGAAAAGTGCTCTGCATCATTAAGAAGACGACTAGTTACAAAGTCAGATTCAAACTGAAGAGGACAACTCATCACCAGTCACCTTTTCTTGGTCAAGGGTAATTTAAGGTTTGAGACATGCAGCGTTTCCAACAAAGTATAAATTTCTAACAAGTACTACACTGTTAACACCAGGTTTTTTTTTTCATTGTTGTTTGTTTCAAAATTAAGCTTTGGGGGGCAGCTAGGTGGTGCAGTGGATAGAGCACTGGCCCTAGATTCAGGAGAACCTGAGTTCCAATCCAGCCTCAGACACATCACACTTACTAGCTGTGTGACTCTGGGCAAGTCACTTAACCCCACTGCCTAGCCAAAAAATAAATTTTTTTTAAAAAAAATTAAGCTTTGGAATATAGTTACTAAAGGAGCAAAAATTCTTTAATATGCTCAACAACTATATTTTTGCAGGCACATTTCCTAATGATGTTATAAAACATACATTCAGTTGATTACTAAAAGTGCAACTTTATATGTTAAACCTTGAGAAGCAGACTGGAAGATTCCCAGGATTCATCAGCTAGAAATTTAAAAAGCCATTCAAAGGTGCAATATTCTACCAACTCCTCAATAACTGGGCTTTGGTCTCTGGTACTTCATTGGTTTTGCAGTACGTCCCAAGGGTCAACTAAACACTTTTGAATGTTCCTTGCCCACTACTCACCATATCTGAACCCTCCGACACTATCTGAAGAAACCCCAACATATTTGTCTTTGTTCTTCTTTGCCTTCTTTCTCTCTTCTCGAAGTCTATCATCATCTTGGGCAAATTCTACCATTTCTTTCACCTTTTGGCGTATATTTATACCTTGGTCCTTGCCATTTTCATCTGTATATGTGAAAGAGAAGAATGTACCCAACAAAAACCAAGTCACAAGAAAATAAAAAATCATAAACCAAAATCCTACTAAAGACAACAGTATGCTATAATATTCTTTTAAAAATAAATAAAAGGTTAAGAGCACCATTTCATTTTTAACTCAGTCTCCCCTTCTGCAAATTCTAAGACAGCCTTAAAATATTTTGGTTTAAAGTATCTTCATAAGGAGTGTCTGATTTACTAAAAATAACTACATGGTAGTAACACTATGAAACAATAGCTCATAAACAAATGGCAGTTTGCTTTTCCCTTATATTTAAACAAAAAAAATAATTTTAGTTTAAGTACTTTTTTAAAAAAAGTACTCCTATTCCTTGGTTCCATCAGTAGTTTTGGAAAATATTAATTACTAGAGATTGTGTTTAAAGACTGAATTTTTAAAGTGCTTTCAACTGGGGTACACTACAAACTGAAATTTGCTTCACTCTCTAGTCTCTTTCACATTCAAAACACACACTGGCCTTGCTGCCTTTGCACAGTAAATATTATTTGGTGGGAGGAAAAAACCCCAGCTTCAAACAGATGTGTGTGTTTTGGAGCTCTAACCTTTTCTTCCCATATGATTAAAGCTATTCCTTTATGGACACCACAGGGGACCAGTCTCTAGTGCATATTTTAATATAAACCCGAACACTCATGTTGTGTTGGTTCTGTTGTTATTAGCCAGTCTTTTCTGCAAGTTCTTGTCTTCACTAATTAATACTCTAGGGTACCACGTCTTGGATTCTGCACTCTTCACACAACCAGCAACAGTCACATTCTAATTAGAGCGGAGAAGCTTCTAAGCTGGTTCAGGTGACTGACAACTCCAACTACTGTTTTAATTTGCTTATAAGATTTTTCTATTGCTCACCTACAAAGTGGTAATTTTCCAGGGATCGCAAATCATAAATGTGTTCTCTGGCACTTGTAACAACACGCTCTGATCCGTTCCTTATGAGGTAAGCTAGGAGCAGCAACGACTATAAAAATACAAAGCACCTTATGATGGCATGAACAAAAGCTCCACCGGCATTTTACAAGTGTTTTTCTTTAAAAACCAACTCGATTACCAAATTAATTAAAAATATAGACTCATATCAGGCTATAAAAATTCCTACCTCACTTAAACTATATCTTGGATATACAGACTTACATAAAAACATAATAAAATTCTTCTATTAAATACAAATCAATTTTAACTTGTTTGAAGCAAGTCAAATGTCCAGTTTTAAAGTAAAAATTCTACTCCCTTAGATGCTCCCAAATATCCAACATTTGGCATCATGTAAACAAAACATTTACCAAACTGACAAAAATTTTTCACTTTGAATCCAAGTGACATACTATCATTACAGTAACCAAATCAGTGGAATAAACCAGGTCGGTCACTTAAGACAAATAGAAAACCATATTTTAAAAAACTGAGTACACGGACTCTCTTTTTGCTATTTAAATTTTTTTCTAGGGTAATGCCTATATGGATCCTATTGAAAATGTTTTTATTTATGTTTGATTTATAAAAGTTCCAAAATTTTATGTTGGGATTCTAGAAAACACAAGCTTCCTCTAACTTCTAAAAGCTTTATCTAACCTATGAAATGTAGGGAAAACTGCACAGTATGTTGAGAATTCCCTTTACCAAAGTATAATTTACTTTATAATTTGCCAGGAGATTTTAACGTTAAAATAGGATGTAGATGAGAATTTCAACAATAGCCTACTTTTAAGCTTGAAGTTTTTAAATAAAATGAGGTTTGTCTGTAATATCAATTTATCAAGAAAAGATACTGGATGTCAACAAAAAAGTTTTTATTAAAGTATAGCTATTCAAAATATCCTTGAAGACTAAAATATGATAATAGTATTGTATATCAAATTGTAGACTACAGTGATATACAAAAATTACTTGGAACATTATTGGAAAAAAAAATAACCCTATACCTTAGCACCTGATTTTAGAATTCTCTATTATAACTACACAAGGTAGGAACAAAATATCCTTGAGATAAAATCTCTTAAGCATTTTTACAATTTTTTTCCAGCAGATCTGTGATTATTTCATTGGAGCCTATAGGTATCCTACCTCAGTCAGTACATACAGCAAACCTTCCACACTTTGTCATCTTCTGTGATTCTAACATAGACTTTAAAAAAGCAACATGCATACATACACACACTTCATGTATATGTAATCCAATAACAAAAAGATGTTAAGGTTTAAAAAGTGCTTTACACTACATCAGAATTAATTTTATTAGCCGTACAGTTTCTGTTTTTGTGCTACAATACCATACTATATTATATTTTATGAAAATGTACTTATTTAAAAAGGTTACAGACATACAAAATCAAATGGGAATCAGGGTCTGTGTTAATTTCATACACTAAAATATACATTTTGAAAAAGAATACAATGAAATGAGATTCTTTACATAAAAATTTTATTCTTTATAGAAATCTAAAGGGAAATGTTAACTGAGGAAAATGAAAGATACAATATATATTTAAAAGCATTAAAATAAAGTTTCAAATATTTTCACATGATGAATAAAATGCTTTAAAATGAGTAGAATACACAAACAGCAAAGCTGCCTCTTAGCATTCTAGGATAACATATTATGGCATATAAATGTGTTTTAAAGAACACTTTTATTAGTCCACTTGAGTCTGAAACACATATAATGTACCATTAAATTAATAAAAGTTTAAAAATTTCTCAAATCCAACCTTATAGACTCTTCTCCAGTTCTTTTTGTTGTCTTTCAACATTCGTGTCCAAAGCATGTTCATAAGTTCAGAAAACTGTTCATACATAAATGTGGCCCTTAAAAAAAAAAAGTCTACCTTGATTTTCCTGAAGGACTTACAATGCGTTCATTTCAACAGTAGATGGCAGACTTGCTCTAACCTACCATGTTTTCCCATAAAGCAAAAAAACAACAAAAAAACTTAAAGAGGCTAACAACTTTGTAATAGCTAAAAATAAATAGAGACAGATAGATAGACAGATAGATAACATGCACGCACACACAGACAATGATACCCAGTTCGCTGCAGGGCCCTATTATCATTACATTTTTATTTGCTACGCTAATCTTTATATTGACTAAGGAAAAATTATTTTTAAGCTTTTTTTCAGGTTTTTTTAAACTATACTACTGTCAACAATTCTGTATTAAACATACAATTCTTTGTGCCTTACTGGAACACTAGAAACACAGGACAAGCAATTTATAAATACAACCTGTGTCACCCTTAAGTAGAATAGATTTTGCTTTCAATTTTCTATATTACTGTCTGTTCAGATCCTACAAAATTAAGCTACAACTGATGAAGAATAAAGCTTGAGTTCAGAAGCAAGGTTTACATTTCTGTGTAAAGATGCACTACTTCTTTCTGCACTGCTGAGTCAAATTATCACTTACCTGGCAATCTCTCCCATGAGTTGCCCAGAAGGTCCCCAAGGATCATCGTTGGTTGCCTCTCGAACCTTAGACTCAATCTCTGAATAATTCATAACCACATTGGTGCTGCAAAGAAAAAAAATTGCACATACATACACACGAAGATTAGCATCAAAACTGAGAAACACATGAAAACTTAATAATGACACTACTGGGTGTCTTAATGAGATACCTCTACAGGGTGGGAAAGAAAACATCTTTAGTGCACAAGCTACCCTGAGGACACTACACTATGCATTTAAGTTATCTTTAAGAAGGCTTTACTATTCCATTAGCCTTCAAGACTACAGATGAGAGACTAGGGATTACATTAGAGTTGGCATAGGTCCAATAAAAAATGGCTTTTGGTCAAATTGAAATTGAAATTGAACCAATAGAGTCTATTATAAGACAAAGTTGTCAGTTTCCTGATCAGATCTGGTTTGTATGCAGACTTATGTGTTGTACAGTTACGAGAAATTCCATAACTCAATCAGCGAAATTAGACAGGATTTGATGAATGTTATAGTTTCAAGTTTTTGAAAAAGGACTGCAAAGGATTTTCTTAACCATATGAGAAATTTGAAAGGCTTGAAGATATTTTAAAAGAAGGAATGAAAAAAGCATTTTAAGCAAGAACATCAAATTGAAAAATGGGATGGGAAGAACAGCACTGATAAAACTTAATAATTCTACCTTTTTATAATTAATTTAAGAGTTGAAAGGCCCTTTGGGGAAAGCAAAGAAATGAATAAGGTGACAATATTAAGTGCTATAATAGTATAAACATTTAAAGTACTTGTCATTAATGAACAATTTTAAAGCACATTTATGAGGCCAACTCATATCACTAAGTGTTCTTACAAAAGTCTTAGAAACAGTCAAAATGATTATTTACTGATTATATAGTCATACCACTACTCTATCTTCCCTACCTATAGATGTCTTTATTCTTGTTTTAGAGATTTTTAAAAATCACGGAAGTTTATTTTTTGTTGCTCATAAATTCCATTGCAAATGAATAGACATAAAAAATTCACTTCAATGTCTCAATGCCTTCATCTGTGTATGATGGTCAGTAAAAAAAAAAGTTTTTGATTAAATTGAAATGGGAAGTCAAACAAGCATTTGTTTTAAAAGAAAATTAACATTTTCCTTCCAAAGACAACTGCTAATCTAGTTTTGTCTTTTAGATCTTTAGGAAAAATTGCCATATAAAATACAAACTATTTTAAGTGATACAAATTAACTCCCCCATAACTAAAAAAAGCATGTAAAACTTTAAATAAGTGACTTTTAATGGAGATGGGAGAAAGAGCAATATTTTCAAACTGTCAGATATAGTAAGGCAAAGTAAAACCATTGAAGCCACCGGCAAATCTTCACTGAAGTATATCCTTGTAGTGATTGGAAAATACTTATGTATTTCGATAAATGAAGAACAAAAGCTTAAGTTGGCTATGTTCATAGCTGATTAGCAAAATGAGTCTATCATCTACCATAAATCAAAAAGCATGTCAAAACACAGCTGTCGGCATGGACAATAGTAATTAGGATTATGATATTTCATTTTACAAGTATTATTGAGAATTTACTTGAAATTTCCTTATGTAGTTTAATACATTTCACAAAATACTTGAAGTTAATTCCATTCCACATGAAAACACACACACACACACACACACACACACACACACACACACACATACACGAGAAATGTTTTTACTAGAGCCTTCGTGAGTCCTACAGTTTTCAGCACACTAGTTTCCTTGTTTAAACTACAAAGAGACCCATGGGTCAAATGAAATAGGTCCTGTTTATATAACCTCCTCACAAAGTTCTCAAAGGTCTGTATGTGTGTAGAACGACAGAGGGATGAAAAAAATATTTCCTATATTTCTTCAGATGAAAAACATTAAGTCACAAAAAGTGCCAAATATTTTCATTTACAAATTCACAATTACAAAAAATAGCAGTAGTCACTCAGTATATAGTGGTGAAAGGGTGTTCAAGAATGGATATAGCAACCAAAAAAATGTAACTAATTAAGACATCACTAAATAGGAAACCATGCTTCATTTCTAAAGTCAATACTGCAATAAATAAACTTATTGTTTTCAGCAAAATGGAAAGTGCTCTCTCAAAAAATGCCATGGGGATATCTTGGCATAAACAGTTTCAAAACAAAACATCTTTAAGCTACATTTAATTCAGAAACAAATGTAAACTAGAAAAAAGAGTTGTATAGTTTGGCTTTTCTCCAGGTCATTTAAAAATAACCATTTCTAAAAAGGTGGAAATAACATTTTATTCTTCCTTTCCCATGTTTTCTATGGCCTGCATTCCATGCCCTACCCATGATTCCTGTGACCTTTTCTGCAAAAAAAACATACACACACACAAAAAAAAACAGAGAGAGAAAAAGAGAGAGAGAGAGAGAGAGAAAGCAAATAATAATAATTTATGTCCAGATGTGAAGGGGGAAAAATGACTAGTTTGATTTCTAAGACTTCCTGTGATTGAGGAAAAGTAGAATGAAAGAGCATTTTAGAACACTAGAGGGAGCTCTCTGATCAGTTTTCAGAAGGCACGTTCAAGCAACTGTGTTGACTAGCTCTTTTTGCAAAGTTATACAAAAAGTGAGATCATGTCAATAATAGCTTTAAGTTACATATATTGCCTTTAGATTTATACCAACTCTATACAATTAATTTATCTATCATACAGAAAATTTATTTAGCTACCACAGAGCCAATTTTCTGACAAACATGGCCTACCAGGAAAATAACATGAAAAAAGAAAAAGGCAGTAGATACTATGTTAAAGTTTCCCTGCAGTCTCTAGGTAGGTAGTAATTTTTCAATTCTTTACTAGAATGAACAATGAATTGTCTAAGAATTGTATGACAAGTTACAGAACTTTTGTAAATTTAGCCAAAGCAACAATTTATGATAAAAGAGTAGGTCTAAAAACACAGGTGTATAGAAGACACACCTTAGCAAGGATTATGATAAGATCCCATTACTCAACTGTAATGGGAAAACACTTTGGGGTAATTTCCTAGTAAAACTAATGAAGTATCCACAAAAAAAGGTAAATGAGAAAGGAATAAATTGGTTTGCTGTTTTTTTTTAAATGCACTTTTTGCCAACAGAGTGAAGACCACTTAGTTTCAAACTAGAAGTAATAATTTATTTAGCACTAAGATAGTGAAAAGTAGCGAAAGAGCATTAGATTGGGAGTAAAGGGGTCTAAGTTCAGATCTACTACTAGTGAATCCTGGGCAAATCAAAACCTACCTTAAACCTCAGCTTCCTAACTTTAAAATGAAGGATCTGGGTCTCTAGAAAGTCTCCATGGTCTCTATTTTTAGCTTTTAACTGTATGACTCAGTAACCGCCAAATTCTCCAAAGTATTTTAGCCATTCAAGAGCTAAACATAAATATTCACCACAAGTATACTGACATACTATGCATCTAATTTTGTACATCCAGATTTCTACATGATGCAAACTAAAATTTAACAGATTCTTCACTTAAGAAGTGATTTTACAATTGGTGGGTTATCAATGCTCCTTGTTTTCTCCTCCCCACATGTACTTTAGTTTTTGTTTTTTAATTTTTGGTCAATTCACTGTTTTAAAAGCACTCCAAAATGAGTCTATATGCTTGCCATAAAATGCTAGGCAATGAAACTCAGTTAACTTTACATTTTATCAGCAGTTCTGGAAAATAGTTCTGGTGGTTAGTAAGGTTGAAATCAATATCTAAAATGGGGCTTTTTGACTTGCTTCTAGATTTCAATCACCTATGCTACACTTGAAATGCATATTAAGAATGGCTTCTATTGGTTATGTTAAAAAAAATTCACACCTATTTTTTGTATTACTTCCAGTTCAACAAAAATTGATGTACTCTGTTCAAAATAAAACTTACTTTGAGAGAATTAAAATGTAACTAATGTGGGTCCATCAATGTAACCAATAAAAAGATTCACAGGAAAACTCACAGTACTCACAAAAATCACAGTACAACTGTAATTATATTTTAACTTCTTAAAATTCAATTCAGTCCAACAAAGAGTTGTCAACTATACATATGGCAAAATGTACAAGAGCTACAGTCTCTGCCCTAAAATAGCTTACAATATGGGCTTAAAAAGTTATACTCAAAATATGAAATAAAGCAGAATGTAAAGCTAGATGGCACAGTGGATATAGAGCACTGGAAGACATCTTCCTGAATTCAGTCCAGCCCCAGACACTTACTGTGTGACCCTGGACAAGTCACTTAACTCTGTTTGCCTCAGTCTCTCATCTGTAAAATGAACAGAAGGAAATGGCAAACCATTCCAGTATCCTGGCCAAGAAAACCCCCAAAACAGGGCTCCAAAGAGCCAGACATGACTAAAATGTGACCTTTAAAGAAGGGAGTGAGTGAATTACTTCTGAGAATGGTGACAGAGAGGTTAGGTTATATCTACACCACAATTTCTTAAGTGGGATTAACAGGGACACATATTCCTCAGATAGATAAGTGATTAATGCATAATAACAAAGTTCTCAAAAGAATAACTATAAATTATTAACAACTATATGAATGACTACTTCAAATCACTAATAATCAAAACAACCCTGAATTTCAATTTATACTCAACAAGTTGGCAAAAATGAGAAAAGATAGAAAAGATGAGAAAAATAATGCATGGATTGTGGAATGACAGGCACATGACGGCATTTTTGGTGAAGTTGTGAACTGGTACAACCATTCTAGAAAGCAATTTCTAATTATACAAATACAGTGACTAAAATGTCCATACCCTTTTCACTAGGCAGAAACCAGAAAGAGATTGCTGACAAAAAAAAGAAAGGCCTGTATGCCTCCAAATATTGATATTAGCACTTCTGATCACAAGATGGCTAAACAAACTGTGGTATAGAATGTAATGAAATATTACTGTGCTGTAAGAAATAATGCATGTAAAGATTTATATGAGCTGATACAAAGTGAAATAAGCAGAGCCAGGAAAACAACATAAACAACAATGTAAATGGAAAGAACAATCACAAAACAATCAAAACTGAATA